CGTATTGTCTTCCACATGAAAGGGGGAATGAATAGACAACCCCCTCAACGCAGGGCACAAAGTTGGTCCTATGCTTCTTGGAGCAGCAGTTTGCGGGATTTGAGGGTGTGGTGACGTTTTCGCAAAGGCTGCATGGACAGTTTGGTAGGTGCTGAAAACACGATGTCCTCATTGACTCTGTTCGCTGCTTTCTTGAGGCCGTGGGAAAAATTGTGGATGTAAGGGATGATGACTGGTCTTCTTGTCCTGTCTCTGTGTGTTTGTTGGACACAGTTCTCTGGCTTCATTTCTTTAAGAAGAGACCACAGTGAGCTGCGAGAAATCTGTTGGCCGTGATTGGCCAACGCCGTACTTGACCTTGGCGGCAGTCAATCATATCCGCCGTATTTCTCGCCGACTTTTTCGCCAAGTGTCCAGATTATTGCCACGGTGGCGTTAATCTGGACACTTGGCAAAAAAGTCGGCGAGAAATATGGCGGCTATGACTGGCCGGCGCCAGGGTCAAGTCCAGCGTTGGCCAATCACGGCCGCCGGATGTCTCGCCGACTTTTTCGCCAAGTGTCCAGATTAGGGCCCCAGCTGTGACCAGCCATGGAAGGCTGACTACAGCTACGTTTTTGTTCGGAAATGTTCAGTCCAGAACCCCTGTGTTCTGCAGCTCGAGCTTTCACTCCACGCGCTCTTGGCTAAGAAACAGAATCGACAAAAGAGGAAGACAACGGCTGCGATCAACGTCAATTTGAGAGCGAAGGGCGAATGTTCGGACAGCTGTAGCGACAGCTCCTCTTATTCCTACGAAAACACGCTGCATCATGAATTCACGTCCAGGTATGACATCAACTCATTGCCTTTGTCTCAAGATATGTTTTAAAGATGCCATATGCTACAAAAAATCGTACCCTTTTACCAAAAAAATATTTAGATAACACATATGACTGCAACAAATGAATACGTATATTTTCTCTTTTTTTTTTCTGTTTCACACACCGTCTTCGGTGTGACGGTCTCTACACGTAGAAAGTGCTTTCAGAACTGTCTTCGGTCATCAAGCGTCACAGCAGTAAACAAGTGAAGTTGTTAGATTATGATTTCTTACGACGGAAGCTTGGGCGAGCGGGTCTCTCATATTTAAAGTTGCACAACACAAGATACGAGCTCGAGCAGAAATGACACAACTCAGGCTACGGCCATTTGTGAAGTTGGCGCTTTCAGTGAATGTCTCGACTATCGACAAACTATACCAATGGTGCGAGCTAAGAATCACAGATTTGAGTTAAACTTCACCGCTCAGCAAACGAATGTCGCTTTTGATAGGAAGAGCTTTCTTGCGGCTCAGGTGTCCTGCACTGAAAGCTGACCCGCCTCTAAGTCACGTGCTATTTGTTAGCAGATACTGTAGAGCATGCAAATATAGATATCATATAATACTGAACAAACAGGGTGAAGGGTGTTGCAAGTTGCAACTTTGATAGTACCTTATTTTGACGTGCGTCATCGCCAGTAAAATTTGGCGCCGGCGCTTTGCCTCGGTGCCACCGAGGCGACTGAAACGGTCGATGCAGAGTCAACTTTAAAAATAAACCTATTTCACGCGCAAGGAATTCAAACATAAAGAATATGAGATAGACGCTAGTTCTCCCCGCCTCATTTTTCCATACATTTGTTTTTATTACTTATATAACAAAAGCTGGAATACCCTGTGACCGAAGGATATAAAGGGCATTCGTGGAACCATACAGAATATACACTGGACAAACCCTATTTTCTCTCGTTTATTTTTTTATATTTTTTGCCGAATAATTTCAACCAGAAGCTTGACTTCAAGTTCCGGCCCTATAGTTTGGACCAGGGCTTCTTTAAACACTGGAAGGTGTACCAAACAAGCATAGTGAGCTGTTCAGTTTCGTATTACTCGCCATATTTCACGGTGATTTTTGCGAACTATATGTAAAGTCTGTCTGCAAATGGTCGTGTGCACGAAGATGTAAATGTTGCCTCATGAACTCGCAGGTTTATTTAGCATGGCATCGGTAGCCGGGGGGGGGGGGGGGGGGGGGGGGGGGGGGAATCGGTGGCCGAGGCTACAGCGCACACCCAGCTCGACGCGCGAGGAGCAAAAGCTTACGCTGCAGAACCCAAGGATCCTGGGTTCGGGTCCCACCCCTGCCCGTTTTGATCTGGATGAGCATCTTACCGGCGTCCGGTCGTGTATCACTGCTGCTTCAGCAGTCGTACTGGTTAGCAGTCGTACTGCACTGGCAAAAATGCTCATCTACAGTGTAAACCAGCGTCCTGGCAGACCGACTAAAAACGTCCAGTTTGATTTTTGTTTTTTATCGGTAGCCGGGTTCGCCATCGTTATCTTATCTCAGAGTGCATCTCGTACGTGCGCTCTGGTCACGCGCTTCTCCGCAGCTTCATTTCGTCGGCATTGGCACGCGTAGGCGACGCTGGGCATCCCAGGCAACAGCAACAGCTGTCATTGGGACCCCGCAGTGTAAATTATAATCTATGCTGCGGGACAATGCGTGAGGAAGGGACATCGCCGCCTCCTGCAATGGCCCTTCCGAGTGAGCGCGACTCAAGCTGGCCAGTTCTCGATCGGCGGCTTTCGGGCGGAAAGAAACCTAATTTCGAGCCGCAATTTCTGTTCTGGGTAGTTGGACTCTCATATGTCACGTACAACTAAAAACGTCGGCGAGCATAGATACCCTGTCAGTGTCCCTTTAAGAGAAAGCGAACAGTGCGCGTGCACAGCTTTCATTGGTACTCAATTGGTGAGCGAGTGCAGGGGCACCCATAACTTTGGCTCCATTGCCACAGAAATTGGCCCCCAAGTACTGGCGGTCTTCTCCGCGTGTTTTCGAACCTAGTTTTACGGCTTCGTCTTTAGGCCGCCAAGCGTTTTGATTCGCTTGAGAGGGCTGGGGAGCAAATTTGCCGCCACAGTTTTTTTGTTCTAGACGCTCGGTGCCATTGATTTCGCTGGAGTCACCAATAGCAATGCAGCAACGCTGCATGCCTTGCGCCGGCACCCAGTGAGCGGCACCGAACAGGTTTTTTACTTCACTTACGCAGCGCGTGTAATTCGTTTTTTAAACCACTAGCTTTATGAATCCGCACTGACGTTTCCTGCAATGCGTACGTCTTAAAAAGCAGCAGCTTAGCTTATGTCTTGAAAATGATAGCAATAGAGCTTTTTGCCAAATTACCTAAGCTTCAAAAAGAATGCCGAGAACGTAGGCACACGCGCTGCGAATGATGGCGTCTTCGGCTCTAACTGTTCGAAAGCAAGTTAAAAGAAGGCACTTCACCCGCGCTTTTTATGAACGCTTTATTTTCGTGCAGCGCGTGTACCTACGTTTCCAATATTCTCCTTGACGCTGGGGTCATTTAGCGAAAGGTCTATTGGCCAGGTTAGCAGCATGTCATGCCGCGTACCACAGCACCGACGTGACGTCTGATTATCTGTGTTGCCATCCCTCTCAGCACACTTTGAACCGTGATATTTAAAAGCCTACACACAACATGGAGAAAAAATATATATTTAGGGACATAGACTGAGCTAAAAGCAGTCATAATTTCAAATCTGCAAATATTGACCGGAGCTGCCCTTTAATGCCCTGGCTCAGACATTTTAGTTATATTGACTGGAGCTGCCCTTTAATGCCCTGTCTCAGACATTTTAGTTGGTTGCGTTCAAAGCTACTCAAACCACTCACATCTTGCATTAACGTCGCCTCACCTGCCATTGTGGTTACCTCGAAGCAGAGCGCGCACCCTTCTGCAGCACGTATTTCACACCACCCTTGGCAAGAACCACTGTAGGAGTGACCACCAGCACAGTGCGATAACGTCATGTGCAAGCCGACTATACGGAGTATTCACTGGCGGCCATATCCGTGTGCGCTGCTGCTGAGCGCGTGCTGATTGCGAGCTTCAGCAGTCCTTTTGGAGCGTGCATTTATCACCGTCAATGTTGCCGATCTTAGCAGGCTATTATGTGAGCTCGTTCTGAGCATGCGCTCTAAACATCGCCCTCAAATATGGCGTCCAGTGAATACCTCCTATAGCGACTATAGGGAGTATTCACTGGCGGCCATATACGTGTGCGCTGCTGCTGAGCGGGTGCTGACGGCGAGCTTCCGCAGTCCTTTTGGAGCGTGTATTTAGCACCATCAAGGTTGCCGGTCTTAGCAGGCTATTAATTTGAGCTCGTTCTGAGCATGCGCCCTAAACATCGCCCTCAAATATGGCGTCCAGTGAATACCTCCTACAGACCTTTTTCGCAAGAGCACCGCCATCTTGAATTGTCGTCACTTCCAGTATGGGCGAAAACATTGTTTTGCCGTCGCCACGCCAATAGAAGGCATTTAGGACATAAACGTAATCGTCACACGTTCTCGTTTTGCCTCCCCTCTATTGCTTTACTATTTGCAGGTTGAAACGTTTTGATTTTTTTTGTCGCCCATACCGGATACGCCTATTAGGTGGCTGCAGGGACGAGAGTACACGAGAAAGTTCTATACTAATAGAGAGTTTTAGTAGATCGTTCCGATACCTCCGATAGCCCCGATAACGATACTATGCATGCGCAGGGGAGGCGGTGGCGGAGTATCGGGTATCGTTATCGGAGTCATGGGAACGATCTACTAAAACTCTCTAATGACAGAATCGCCGATAACTGTTCGCAGTGCACAGCGTGGCAAGCAATGCGAGAAATAGCTCCATGAAGCGATCATGAGTCACGGTTGTCCTGGTGTCCTGGTCATGACTGCCGTTTTAGTTTCTACTCATTATTGTAGCGCTCTACCGACTTTTGAGACATTGACAAATGCGGCGGCGCATTTCGTACTCCGCGCAGCGAAGTTACTTTCTCACTGTACCTCCGGGCACAGAAGCTTACAAATATGTGTCTGTTTCGTTCAGGCACAGCAAAAGAAGTATCGCCTCTATCGAGCGATTTCCTGTTCACATTTTCTGTGAACTTGTACAAGCAGCTTCAAGCTGAGGAGGGAACCAACAGCAATATCGTATGCTCCCCATTCAGCGTCGCTGCCGCCCTGTCCATGATCAATGCGGGAGCCAGGAACAACACGCAAAAGCAGATTAGCCACCTCTTACACGTGAAAGACCCCGACGTCCACGATAAATTCTGCGTCTTCTTCGACCGCTTCTGCTTTCTGCCGCCGGAAATGATGCTGTTTATCGCCAGTCGAATCTACGCTTCTTTCGAATTCAGTCCTCTGGAGGACTTCGCCTGCCTGTTGAAGAGGATATATAAGAGCTCCATGAAAGGCATCGAATTCAGAGGCGACCCAAACGTCTCCCGCTGCCAGGTGAACTCATGGGTCGCCGAGACTACCAAGTTCATGATCAGGAACTGCCTGCCTCTGAACGCCTTTCAGAAAACGACGCAGGTGGTCCTGGCAAACGCGGTCTACTTCAGGGGCTTCTGGGACTCCCCGTTCAGACTGGACGCTGCGTCCCGGGTAGCGTTTCATGAGGACGCCACAACCACCAAAGCCGTGGACATGATGTTTCGGCGGGGCACGTTCATGATGTGCTATAGCGACGAGCTCAAGGTCACCGCTCTCAAGATTCCCTACAGGGGCGGCAAGATGTCCCTCGTGGTTCTCTTTCCGGAGAAAGTGGACGGTCTCACGAACCTCGTGAAACAACTGACGCCGTACAAGCTGACCCGACTCCTGAGGGACGTCACGCGGCCCATGCGCATTGAACTGAGGCTCCCCAAGTTCAAGCTGGAGCACACCATCGACCTGAAGGAGACGCTGAGTGTGATGGGTGCCACGGACCTCTTCACGGAACGTGCAGACCTGTCTGGCATGAGCGTTCCCCCGTGCCCGCTCTTCTCCAGCGCCATCCACAAGTGCGTGCTGGACGTGAATGAAGAAGGGGACGAGACGGCGGCCGACGCCGGAATGGAAGGTGTCAGCCTTACGCTGGATCACCCCTTCATGTTCCTCGTTGAGCACCATGATCCCGTCGCCATTATTTTAATGGGAGTACTTCGCAAAATTTAAATTGTCGGGAGGCTTTCTTTCTAATGCGAAGGAAAGTAGAACAGAAGCCAAGAACAAAAAATATATGATTGATGAGTCAGCCGACCCAATGTCTTAGGACTGACCCAGTGTGTCTTTGCCTCTACTTCTTTAGAAGAGACGATTTTAGTTTTGTATGTTAAAACTGAGGTAGGTATCAGTGGATACAGCATTAAGGCCCGTTCACACTCTTGCGACCTCTTAAACCTGGGTTCCTTAAAACTTCTTAAACCAGAGAACACACTGGCGCCATCTATTGGGAAGCAGTGTAAACTCGGCGGTCCGGCATATTTTTGTTTTATTTCTCGCGCACTATCCTTTCTTTCTTGGCTCGAAAAACTTTTGTCATTGTTATAAACGAGCCTTTCTATGGGTATTACGCACATTTGACCTTGGAAATCCCGCAAAACCTTCGCTCTTGTGAAATGCAGTTCCAGGGTCACCGCATAGATGGCGCCACAATGCCAGTGTGTTCCCTGATTCTAAAAACATTTAAGTTTTAAGAAGATCTCGTCTCTCTCAGTCGTACTCGGTCGCAAGAGTGTGAACGGGCCTTTACACCTTGAGCAAACGATAGATTAACTTAAAACAACAAACGTCAAAACTCTGGGCCAACTTCTTATTTTCTGCTGTAGCTGTTCTAATTCCTCTTTACGGCGAAATCTGGCGGCGTCTTTACGCAAAAGCTTTCGTGATCATGGGAAGAGGGTGACAGCGCCGCTACGCTGTTACTTATTACTCCCTCGCTAGCACCGTCACCTTTCACAAACATTGGGAAATTGTAGTAGACCATTTCCGCAGCCCGCTAAGCACCCGCATAGCGCTCTGTAATCCGCTACAAAACATTGAACTATGCAGACAAGGCTGGCGGCGCGCATGCGCAGCTGCGGCGTTTTCTTCACGGATACCGTAGCGGAGGAGAAAAACGGTCTGCTACGATTTCCTACTATCTCTGGCGCGCTCGCTATGTAAGCTATTTCTCCCACTCTCCGTCAACCCCCCCCCCCCCCCCCCCCCCCCTCCCCCAACACCTCCTAGAAGACAAGGCCGTAGCGCTCTACTCGCGACGTCGCAAGGGAAGGTCCTCGGGGGCGCGCGGCGAAGCGAAGGCAACGCGCGTGGATCGACCGTCGTAACGCGCTTTTAGTCACATACGCGTGTCTTATTAGCTAAAATGAAAGCTGCACATAGCAACGGGTCTCGAGAATATTTTATTACACGGGCAAAATATTACACCACTAAGTGATCGGTATGAAATGGTACGAAGAAGGCGTAGAAGAGAAAACATTGATTCACGCAATTATTGCTGCAGGAATGCATATTTTACACAGAAATACTTCGACAAAATGGCAAGACACGCAGTGATTGGACACAGCAAAACAGGTCACATTGAAAAATCAAGTAGACGTAGTCAACGCGGACACGGCTAGAGGAATGGCACGATCATGTAAGCGATGTTGTCGCGTGCAGTCACTGAATTCTTGCATCATATATCCCGGCCACATGGCAAAAGTAATGTAATTTCGATCGAATGAAAATATGGGGCCGACAAATCAGCTTGCGACGCTCATATAATCACTCAAAACAGCGAGCTGATTAAATCCCGTATTATTTAATCAAAATATATTAACTTTTCCGCGTGGCAGAGGTACTAAACTTACTATTTACAGTCAACTAATTTATTTCTCCCTATGGGATCGAGGTGCCTAAGAACAAAATATAACCTATTATGTATACAATAGTACTATTACCTTAATACAGTTAAGATTCTAGTATAAACGCGGTAAATGGCCACAAAATAACATTAGTATAAATAAACACATAAGCACAAACAACGCACTTTCAATAATCACACAAACTTGTTATTTACCTTCCAGTAAAAGCTAGAATATTACCACGCATAATTATAAATGTCAACGCAATAGTAAACGGATAATGACGAAGAACAAAACTCCATTCTATCACGATATTAGAAACAAAATCGACTGCAGCACTTTACTTGCGTCTTACATGACCAAGAAAGCCCGTAAATAAGTTGTTCCTCACCTGTCGATCGCATCCATACGTCCCACACGATCCATCACGAAAAAATTTCAACACGAACTTCAAGAAGTCTCTCTCTGTCGAGAGAGGTCATCGGCCAGTGTCATCGTTGACTAGTTGCCACACACGTCAGTCAAACCTTAGCAGGACTTGTTTCGCGAATCCACGTAAATGCCGTAGTATCAAGCGAACAAAAAAAAAAAAAATCTACCCGAGACTGCGGTGACGACAAAAAAAAAACGATGAGTAGCACAAAACCACACACACACACGCGAGAGCAGCACCAGCAGTGTGGGACGAGAGGCTTAACATTGTCCACCCATCTCTTCCTCGTGTGCGCTCCCTCCCAGCGGCGATGAATGGATTTTTTTTTTTCGGTTTCTTTCCCTTCTGAAATGTCTCAGCGTACATTTGCATGCAGTCAGCAGCTCACACGCAACGTAAATTTACCAGAATCAGAGCCCGTACGAGGGAAGATGTCGCATCGGAAATTTGGAGCCGGTTCATTCAAAAAGTGTGGGGAGCTGCGGGACTGCGCTTAGTCCCGCGGTTACGGGGATAATCAAAAATATAAATTTAGTACTTTCAACCTTGGTAACGCGTTGTATATTACGTTTATATTATATACATAATAAATTGTACAAGACTGCGCTTTTAAAACGTGTATTAATGTCGGATAAGCGCGCACGAACATTAATGCGCCGATACGCGTCGACAGCGGCATTTTCTCACGTAGTTGCGCCATGGCCTTCCTTCCTCCACCATTGTGACGTGCCCACTCGGAGCGCTACGGCCTTCTCTTCTAGGAGGTGTTGCTCCCCCCACCCCCTCCCTCCACCGTCGCCGCTTCGTGGTTCTGGAAGCAGAGTACTGAATCGGAACCGAACCGTTATTTTTAGCTGAACCGAAGCGAAATAGTCGCCGACATCTTGGAACTGTACCGGGACTGAACCGGAAAAAAATATAACGGTAACAAGTTCAAAACTGTTCACGACAATAGACCGATGTCACCAAGCGAACTGCGCAGGCGCGCGGATTCCGGAAGTTGGGCCGCCGCCATGCTACTTGTAGTCACCCCTTCCCGGCTTCCCGGCTGCATACGGCTGCGCGTACGTACATCATCATAGATTATCATTTGGCACGCCCCGGTATCACCTTGATTCTCTTGCATGTTTTTACTTCACAAGATTGTGTTGTTTGTGATGCCTTATTTTCCTCAGCAAGTGCAGAAAAGCAGTTTCAGTCGTCTTATCGCTTTAGAATCGCTTTGTCGTCTGCTTCGTCGTCGTCTGCTTCTTCGTCTTGGTGAACGCGTAAGCCCACTGCCGTCCACGGGGTAATCCCACTGCGGCCGCGGAAAAAAACAAAACAAAAAAAGAACGGCGCCACTACTCGAGCATTCCGACTTCTCGGACGTCTCAATTACCTTGCAAACAAGTGAACATCTAGTGCAATAGCAAAGAACAAGAAAATTCGAGGGACAATCGGCTCGGTGTAGCACCACGGAACAGCATCAAATGTGATGAAAAACTGAGCTTGGTGGTGCTCAGTCTTGTTCATAACGATTAATCAGCCATCAAGTAAGAGGAGCTAAATAGACTTTCTCGGTCCGCGATAGTTTTCTAGAAGTTGTTTCAATCTGGTTCACAGCCTGTGCGACAGAGTACGATGAACAGCGGGAGAAGCCTGCACACAAAGAACTGATCTACAGAAAGGCCATGCCTGACGCGCCGTCATAATTGGCATCTATCAAAAAGAAGCAACCATGCCAGATACCTGAAAGCTTGGGGTGGAGATGATTTTTCGTGCACAGTTTCTATTCAGTTTTATTTTGTTTGCGCAAGATCCGAACGCTAACAGTTGCCCGACGGGGGAAGCTTTTTTCTGCGGTCTCGACTGGTGCTAATGCAGAACGGATCAGTAACACCAGCCTAATAAACAACCACAAAATGGATGAGGTTCCTTTGTTACATTTTTGGCGGTAAGTACGTGTTGCACTTCTAAATTGCATTATGTAATCTTTTCGCGTAGGTATGCAAAAAAAAAAACAAAAAACTGAAGGCTGCTTCAGAAAAAAGTTGTTTTATATTGTCACGGGTGGTGACCAGAATGACAATAAATAAACAGGAAGAAATAAACGTTTAATGTGGCGAACTTGTGCCGAAAACAAAAAGGAGAATAGAAAATAATAACAAAGCGTCGCGAGCGTCGAGGTCGGCGAGACAGCAGAGTCGAGCGCTGGGGCGAAACTGGCTCCAGATCAGGAGGCGGAGTCCCTTATGTACGCGCGTTGGGTTCTGGAACAATCGGCCTAGATTGTTCGGCGGCTGGAACATTCGGAACTCGATCATACGAGAATGTTCTCGAACACACGAGAACGCAATGTTGAAAGAACAAATAAAAGATCATTCCACTGACTGGAATCGAACCCAGACTTTCTGCGCTACAGTCAAGCACGCTAATCACTCGGTCACGCGCGCGGTCGCTCGCCGGCGAGCGTGGCATTACTCCCCCCTTTAAAAAGGCATCGTCTCGATGCCACGTAGAAAGCAACAAAACAGAGCGAAACAAAAAAAAAAAATGGGAACATACGGAGGCTCGCCAAACACAATCCTATCAAGCGGTGCACAAGATCACAGTTCGCAGTCTTATCGCGCGTAGTACGGCTTGAGGCGCACGACGTGGACGACTTCCGGTCGTGGAGCGCGGCGTGATGAAGTCCGTGTTCCGTCGGGCATCACCTCGTAGTTCAGATCCCCGAGTCGACGAGGTACTTTGTAGGGTCCGAAGTAGCGCTTTAGGAGTTTCTCACTGAGACCACGGCGACGTATCGGTGTCCACACCCACTCCCTGTCTCCGGGCTGGAAGTGGACGTCCCGACGACGGAGGTTGTAGCGGCCAGTGTCGACACGTTGTTGGGCTTGAATACGGTGTCTGGC